TGGAGAAATTAATTACTAAAAATATAAAAGAAAATATCAGTCATGGCCTCAGTTGAGCGAAATACAAATAATAATTGAATAATGCACGAGCTATTTTTCTAACCAACCGCAACATCGTTACAAATGTGTTCGATTCTCTACAACAAATACAAAACCATTCGAGTGTGATGCCCATTCACCGATTGTTTTAAGAGAAAATAGTGTCATTATTTGTACAAGTAGAAACTACAAGTAGATGGATGCTGTGAAAGTTATTATCACTTCAGAAACCTCATCTTTTTTCGGAAATTTTATCATTTATGTAACCGAACTTGATCCATTTTCCAGTTAATTAAATGAAGATTTGCAGAGGTCTCAAGGTTGCAAATTAAACCATTACATAATTAAGCACAAAAGATATAAACGTCAGAACCAAAAGTCCAATGTTGAAGCAATTAGGCGCTATTTTATTTCGACTATTAAAATAGTACAAAAACGGAAAGTTTCCACATTCACTTTTCGCTTCTTGCATTTAAATGATTCTTTCACAATAAAGACTATCATGCATAAATTCTCCGGCCATCGGATCCTTCGCTAATTGTTTAAAAAAGAAAATAAACTCTAAAGTTGATGGACTGTGAAGATAAATAAGAAGGTTTTAGTGCCGACACTGTGGTAACCCTGACCGTTCCCATTCATGCATAACTCCAATTTCTATGACAAAGATTGAAGCAGAAATAAATAATTTTATTCCCGAGTGAGTTAACTGAAGAATAAGCACGTTGTGTGTTATTATACCAGTCAGAAGCGTATCTCCCGGTGTAAAAAGCCGTTAAAACCGATGCCAGAATTTGCGACTTACCATCAATACGAAGCAATAAATAATTCCTTAGAATACCACGACGACCACTAAAATCTACTGTTATAATTCAGTAAACTTGACATTTTTCGAGCGCCGAGGCTTTAGCCGCTTTTTAAACCCGAATTGCGTAAGTTTAACGGCTATTCAAACAACACTGAATCCATTCATTTTTACCTGAACTCCTCAACGGATTAATTCAAACGACGAGTGTATAACTGGTGGCCGCACTCCTGGCGCTTGCTACTAACAAATCCTTAGATTGAATTCTTCTTGTTCTTTTGTGTTTTAAATTAATTACATTTTCTTACAAAACCGGTCACGTACTTGGTTTAATGTGACAACAATGGCTTTCAAGTGAGAGACTCAACACTTGTCTATTTTGAACGCGAAAGCGTCATTTTCTAAAAGGGAACTGCACCAGGAATGCTGATTAAATAAAAGATTTAGAAAAAAGTTGATGCGTTAAAACATTTCGTGTGCAATTAAAACTGTAAAAATTTACTGCAAACAACAGTTGTGGTGTTTTAATTTTCACTTTGGTTTTTCTCCAACAATAAATTTCTACACGCGACTTTTTTCAAACACGCACACAAAAATGGGATGAAATCGAGAACGGCTGTTTTAATTTGTTTTAATTATGTGCTTGATTAAAAAACAAGTTAATACAGATGTAAGTGATTAAAGTAAAATCGTAACAAAACGACAAAGAACTATGAGAAAGCGCTAGATTTAATCATACTATACCGGGTGGTTGAGACAATTGGATTACTTTCTTTTATAATCAAGTTTTACTGTTTTCATCCTTGGGTTATTCCAACATTTGCCAATTTTATAACAAATAAAGTAAACATCATTATAACACACCATTATATTATCTCACCTTGAAATGCTTTTATCGACTAAATTAGTATTTTACATTAATTTCTTGGTTTTGTTTATCATTTACCGTTTTGGAATATTATTAATAAATAACAAAAAATGATTACCTTGAAAACTCATATTTTAATTCTAAAACAAGTTGGTTTAATTAGGAAAAAAAATTATTTTGAAACGAGAACTGTATCATGTATCATTACTCCCTAGGGCAGAATATAGCTTTACCAAAATGAATATGTACAGAAAAATCCCCGGTTAATAATTGTAAAATCTTTTAATTTTAGATTAATTACTATTCCTTTCCAGATTATAAAGAAATAAAATAGGAGAAAACAAAAGTGTTACATATTTAATAACAGAAATATGAGGTTTCGTGAAAAAAAAAATGTCAGAACAAACTTCTAACTTGGTTGAAACTGTGTTTAGAATTTTTGTTTATACGTACATATTGTAATCCAAAAGTTCCAAAAATGATACCTCTGCTATTTATTTTTGTCGGATTATACAGGCTGTATTATGAAAAACGAGCCAAGCCATAACTCCATTATTTTTAAAGTTATGACAATACTTGTTGAAACAAAGTTGAACATTTTTTGTCATCTATAGTTTAGGATAGATGCTAAATTAATGTTGTTTTCTGTTTCACCGAAAATCACATCAACTTTATTTTTTTAATGGAATGGAACACCCTGTATATTTTACCACTTTTGGATTCTTTGTTTAATTGTTTTTTAACAAGTTTTAGTACCATATGCCTAAAACTAACCGTTCGTGAGATATTCACCAAATAATGTATTTATTAAAGTAGGCAGAGGAAAACAATAATATCAGGTAATGTTGACAAATATTATTCCTTTGCATTTTCTCTTACTGTTTTTATACTTTTTAATGTTAATTATGGATGATAATGTGTTAACAGACATATTTTGCATAAAATAAAAATTGTAGGAGAGCACTACGCTTTTACACTGGGTGATTTCTGATGAGAGACGTTCCAAATCGACGAAAATTTAAGCGACTTAAAGAAAATTTGAGGATGTTTTGGGCTTTTAGAAAACCCAAATTAAAACATCTCCAATTTCAAAGAGATACAGAATTAGACAGGTATTGAAGAAAATGCAATAACATGAATTCAAGAAATTGCAAGTAACGTTGGCTTATCGCACGCAACTGTTCTAATTTGGGTTTTCTAAAAACCCTAAACATCTTCAAATTTTCTTCAGGTCGACGAATTGGAACTTCTCTTATTGGAAACCGCCCAGTGTAAAGGCGTTGTGGTCTCCAACTATTTTTATTGCTTTCAAAATATTCTTGAATCATGTCTGTTAACACATTATCACCAGAACACAAAAAAGTATAAAAATAATAAGAGAAAATGCAAAGTAATAATATTTGTCAACATTACTTAATATTATTGTTTGCTACTGCCTACTTTAATAAATTTTTAATTGACTCATATCTCACGAACGGTTGCTTTTAGGCACATGGTACTAAAACTTGTTAAAAGACAATTAAATAAAGAATCCAAAAGTGGTAAAATATACAGAATATACAGGGTGTTCTATTAAAAAAAATAAAGTTGATGTCATTTCCGGTGAAACAGAAAACAGCATTAATTTAGCATCTATCCCAAACGATAGATGACAAAAAATGTTCAACTTTGTTCTAAGAAGTATTGTCATAACTTTAAAAATAATGGAGTTATGGCTTGGAGCATTTTTCATAATACAGGCTGTATAAAAAGTAAAGAAATAATAAAAAAAAACTTTTAGAATCAAAAGGCGATAAGAAAAAGGAAGAATGAAAAAAGCAATTAGTGAGAAAAATTCTATTTATCCATAATCCACTTATGCAATCATAATTAGTCAGAAAATGTCAATATTTGACCAGAATGTAAATACATTTCTCAACAAGTTGGTCACCAAAACTCCAGTAATAATTATTTTACTTGCTGTCATGATAACTAAATTTCACCACTGATTATGAAAATTTTGCCTTTTCTTATCCAGTTACTAAAATTCCATATTTCAAAATGTCACTTTATGAAAAATAAGAGAATTGGAAAGATCTTAATAGTCTGATTTGCAAGAGCTGACCGACATTATTTACATACTGGAACTCGGTCTAAAAATTTTTCAAAAAACTGTTCTAATTGGCTCCCAGTCGCCAAAACCACCGTAACTCGGCATCGCCTATTTGTCATAATCCACTTCTCGCTGTAATTTACACGATCGGCGCCACCTCCGGTGAGAAATTTCTTAAAGCGGCTTCATTAGCCTCGTTCTGTTCAGATCGGTTTCCCCTATACCTACATGGTCTTGGTCTTTTTCCTTCGTTATTCGTTTGGAGTACGACATTGCTCAATAGAATTTCTCGCTGAAAATGTTGCGAAAAAAATATTTGAAGAAGCGTCGGCTGTAATAACAAGTCCGCTATTAAAATGATGAACACGGACAGGTTGCAGATTTATATTCCCGAGGGTATGAAGAAGTCGCTGTGTTAAAACTTGCTCAGTAGACGACAATGTGGCATTCCACTCAGTCTGGCATTAAACTGGTTTAGTAAATAGATTGGATTTTTTAATGCCTTTGTAAATAAAAACGCTATCCATGGATTCCTTCGCGAGAAGCTCTTATTTGAAAAAGACAAAAAAGTGTCAATTTTTCCAAAAACAAAGAAAGAAATTGGTGATTTTTGCGAGAAAGGTGTGTCGTGTTTAGATCATTATTACGGAAATGTTGAAAGCAAGGTCATTGCAAACTTATGTCATTTTTTCAAAAATTTTCCTACTCAATTTAGCCCAAACGTGGCTTAATTAATTAAGTAATGCGATGAGCCAACACATCTGGTTTTGATAGCCAACACAATACAATTAATTGAACAAACGGATTTAGTTTCAGTTTTAATAACTATAACATTGAAGATAATTTCTTTTAATTGGCTCAAGGTAAACATAAACTACACGATATGCCGGCAAAAATGCATTCTTCGTTCGTTCTACCTTACATAACGAATTTCCATTTTTGCGCTATTTCACTTTCAACCAGACTAAAAACACCCACTCAGATCCCAGTGTTGTGCAACAACAAGTAGTGATCATAGCACATTCCTAATCAAACCTACGTAGCAATTTTTTTTCGAATAAATAATGCGGATTGCAAAGACATTGCGTATTTGTAATCAAAACATTTGTCAGACTATTCCGCAAGATGAAAGAAATGAAAATAAATGAACGATTATGCAAAGGCTTAATTAGACTTCTCGCAATGATTTCGTTTATTACCTTTTGGTTTTGTCGACGAAAGTTGAACCATTGTCGGATTTAAAGCAGTAGCTCTTTTTCTTACGCTTCTTCAAACATAACACGTTTGTTGACAACATTTTGCACTAACGCGATTTGACCATCTTCAAAGCAAATCTGAAAAAAAAAGAAAAATTGAAGGCACATCGTTGTAATTTATAAATTACACTTTTGCGAACGAATCATAAGTCACAATAAAACAGTGATTTTTATTTTTTTAATTAATAAATAAAGTTAAAATCAATCAAACATCATTGTTTTTATTAATTTATTTTATTTGTTAAGTGTATTTTTGTATGAAATTTTCATACAAGTTCTTTTATTTTTCGAGTTATATACTATACTATACAATACTAAAATATTTATGTCTAAATCTATAACTGTGTAGAAAATTATGTGACTTTAGCAAATTAAAAATTCGTTTTTGATTTTATAGGCTATTTTAATTAATTCTTGAAAGGTATAGTATCTGAACAAAGAAAGCAAGTTTTTTAGTGTTTGTCTCGTAAATAATTACGAGTACTTTACAATGTGTATTTTTTAGTTTATGAGCCTCTAAATGATGTTCAAGACGTTCTTTGTCAAAAGAAAACATTCTTCCTGATATAAAAACGAATTTTACAGTTCTTAAAAACTTTCCTGATGTTCACTTTCTGATTTTGTAACAATTAAAGTTTATGGCTGCAAATAGCTTTGTTTTTTGTCTATTCCTATCAAAGATACACCTCGAGAAAGCCTCAGCTGAGACATGGTGTGTTTACCGGTTTTGCAGGCGCCACTGTTCAAAATTGCAAAATTGCCGATTATTGCAAATGGATATTTGATCTGACCGCGATTCGATAATGACCCTAAATGGTTTCCCAACTGTTGTAACAATTAATTGTGAGTTCATTTAAAGACAATAATTTAAGCGCCTTGCACAATGGCGCGGTATTGTTTTCTGCAACGCAATCCATATCAACCCAATTTTGATCCTTTCATTCTCATGTGGTATTTACGAAAAGAATCCACAAAACTTGTAAATAATAATCACATGTAAGGCCGTTTCATCTCGCTGAATGCCAGCACTTGTTCTACTTGAAGAAACCTTGAAACTTTTTCGAATTCGTTTCGAATCGAAATCGAATTGGTCGTTGACTGCAAATGCAAAGAAATCGGAATTGCATCACATGTTCTGCTTCAGCGTGCTGTAACTTATTAAAATACTGCAAATATCTGCGCTTCCTGCTAGGAATGCTAGGATAATTAATTCACGATAGAGTGCATGAGGTTGGCGTGAATATTTCAGCAGTGCTCTCGTGCATCCTCACTGCTTTAAATTTTTAACATGTATTATGTGATTGTATGGAAAGTATACGAGATGCGTGGCTGTAAATCCTGATGAGCGTTCAAATCCGGAAGGAGGCTCGACCTTTACTTGTTGCATTTGATTTATGACAACATTAGGCTAATTAAAGCAACGAGAAAAATATTGGAGGCGAAGATTTCATCTGCAAGTCTATATACTGTCACTATTAATTAAATCGTCAAATCGGTTAACATTTTGATGCTAATCTCAGCGGGAAGGTCGACAGGGTGAGGTCCGACTTGTTTACATATACAGAAACCTACTCGCGCACTATTGTGAAAATTTAAAGCTTTGCCTGGCCTTTGCAAAGTTTATACTATATTGTCGATAAGAACTATAATAAAATTTTCTTGATGGAAAATTTAAACAATATAAGAACTTAAAGGTCTCCAGCTCGATTATTTGATTTAATCTAGAGTGCAAAGTTAATCTAAATAATGTTTTCGAAAAATTAAAATTGTGTTAAATTATATTTTCACTTCTTCGTATATTACTTTTTCAGAAGTTTTGTTCTGATCAGGAAATCTATTTCAACAGATACAAAATGAATAGTGCTTTCCGAAATTTCCTGATTTATTCAACAACTACAAAAATATGTAATTGCAGAGTGTTTTGGCAAAAATATTTTTGCGGGTTTCCATATTGCAAATTGTGAATTCTACTTTTTTTTTTATTAAACTAGCCTTTTTACGTTACTTCTCAAATCTGAAGTGATAGTAATTAGTTTTTGACTTATCGTTGATCACGTAACGTATATTTGAAATGCAAAGAAAGTCTGTAATTGGAATTTGTTGGATTTCTTAAACAATACAGTTTGTAGAAGCTCAAGATGCACATATAACAAACACAATTTTATATTTAAATTTGGTAAATGGTGAAAATAAATTACGAGTAAAATTACAAAAATTAGAAAAATGTTGAAATCAGACACTTTTTGACAAATAACAATTTTGTTGATTTTTAGAACACATTTTTTTTTATTGTTTTCCACAATTTCCTCTTACTTATTTATTTATAAGAATATAACTCAAAAAATCAAAGATGTTGACACAACAAAAGCAACCCGAAATATCCGGAAGATTTTGGAACTCCATTAAAAAAAATGAACAAAATTTTGTAAAAATAAAAATGTGCAACGAATTAATTTTCAAAATCCTCGAGTTTTCAAATTTCCAAGATCAGAATACTGATTAGTCTAATGTTTTCAGACGTTTATAAAAAATAATATGTAAAATAAGTAAACAAAATACATTCATAAAGTCTCTAACAATTTTTAGATTTTCATATTTGATATGGTTAATATTTTGAAAACTCTTGTAAATATCATTATGTATAAAACATACTTATCATAATCAAATTTTGAAGCGTTACTGCAGACCAGCTTGACAAAGAATTAAAACAAACTAATTCTTTTCATTCATTTCTTTAAAAGGGCAATGTGTTCTTTTACTGCTTATAGTAGCATTTTTTAAGTAAAAATCTGAGACATATTTTGCAGAACAACAATAAAAATAAAATAGCATATAACCTATGAGTAATCATTTATTAGCATTCTACCATTGTATCCTTACTAATCACTTCCGCACGCCATATATCTTTTTTCGATCCTGTTTAATTGTTTTGGACTTCTGTAATAATAATTTAATCTTCTTAAATCTAGTATTTTTCTAACAAAATGTGATAATTATTTTTATATTTGCTGTTAATCCGAAACAATTTTGAACAAATAAAACCATTGAAAAATTTTTGTATCTGACTCAAAATTAAAAAGTAAAGCCAATATCAAGGTAAATCTTTTTTTTTTCTCTCTTTTATAACAAACATGTGTACACATTTTGTAACAAACCGGTTGCAAAAAAGCATAGATAATCAAAAGCGGTCGCTTTGTAAAGCGAGATTTTGAAATTGAACAGGAAACCTCCGGCTTAATCTGATTTAATCTTATTCTCCATACTTGGCCATTGATTCAACTTTTCCCCTTTTTGTTAAATATGACACAAAGCATTAAATACCATTTCCTGGCACTCTGAAGATTCTCCTTATGTAACATGTCAAAGCAGCAGACAGACCCGTAATCTATTCGTACTTATGTAATTAATCATAAACTTGTTAATCGTGTACGAATTAGAGTTGATTTAATTGGAGAAAGTCGATATTATGTCCAATTAAGGTAATCTAGAACGTATCATCTCATATCGGGTGACCGAAAAAAGATTTTTTCCCGAACAAACAATCATAATCATAATTCTTGTCACGAGCTTTATTATCCTGTTTTGGGTGCGTAATAATTACCAAAGCACCAAAGGGACTTCCTAAGTCTGCCGTTTCCGGACCTGACTTAACTTCTAATGCGACAAATATCCGATGAGTCGTCAACTACAAAATAAAAATTAGCAGTTTCACGACAAGATTTCTCTCATTGTTCCTTGTTTTTAATTAGTAAGACAATTAAAAACACGCTGTAAATTTGCGTGGCTGAACTTAATTTTATGCATTATCAAAACCGAAATAGATCTATTCCCAGGTTTTCCTTTTGAACTTTCTCCGTTTTTACTTTTTCCCTTATCAGAAAATCACAAATCTAACTCTATAACTGTATTGTTCTACAGGCCGTGTCCTTGTAGCGGTATATTAAATTTTTCGCCGGGTCACAGCTGATATTTACATCATGGGTCGCGCTAACCCACATTTGGGCAATACTTTACCATCAACATCCATTATCACAGGCACTGCACTGTCTTATCACTGGGTTCAGTTATCAAAGCACAAATAGCTGGGTTTAAGCCACGACCAGAGGCTAACGGCGAACTCACTCGGTCATATCGTGAAGGAGACTGAAGCCGGCTCTGTGGAGCACAATTCACGGTGAATTCTCACCCGAGTCCCTCCACGTTATCTAATTTCAAGCATTCATTCATGCGTTTGTTGGTATTTATGAGTAAAAGCGACTCAAAACAACGAAAAATTTCTAATTAATTGGAAGGATTTAATTGGTTTAATTGTGGGCAGCCTTGACCAAGGATTATATCTTTGGATTAGAAGAAAAACAGTTCCACTCTTTCAAATGTGTGTTAATTTGTGTATCTTCTCACAATATCAACCCATTTTAAACAATTTAAATTTATGTGTTCACCGTTTACTCCTCCTATTCTCTTTCATCTTGATTATACGATTGCAGAAAATTTGATCTAGATTACGAAATTATTTTATAAACGGTAATTATTCTTTTAATTAAGATATCCAAGATGTGCGTAATAGAGTTTGCAGATGGTTTAAAAAAAAGGCAACAATTAAAAACACTTCCTGTTCTTATCAATTTATTCATTAATTTACTTTAGAATCCTTGGGAACGACAAACATGCATTTATAAATGTTCAATGATTTTTGCTAATTTAGGAATTATTTTGTTACGTAATACTTTTAACCTTAGAAATTCTAAATTAGTTTTTATAAATTCAGTATAAATAAATAAACTTTAACTAATGCTTCAACATATTTTAGAAAACCCGTAACTTGGTCCAAAAATTAGAAACATATTGTGGTATTTAAAAACACGAAATTTTGTAAAAAAATTGTTGTTTTTAAGGTAACTTTGCTTAATTCTTGTGAAATTAGATATCTGGGTACTTTTGAGGTACATAAAAATTAGTGTTTTTGGGCCATCTTTGATTGTTTACCTTTGGAAAAACAGTTAAATTTTTAGGTTTGATCCTTGTTTTTAAGGCACCAAATATCCTGGTATGTACGTACCATCCTTCCTTGACTTGGTCTTGTTTTTCCAGAAATAAAAAGCCATTTTGGAGTGTGCAAGGTATTTTGTAAATTTTTTTTATAGTGCTCTTCAGATAATTTTACATAATTTTGGGTGATTTTCAACGGTTTTTTCGTGTGCCCAATCTTTGGTGGTCTACAGATATTTGGGTACTTTTAGGTTGCATAAAAATTAGTGCTTTTTTAAAGATTTTAAGTCGTTTTTGGTTATTTACTTTTAGGAAAACAGCAAAATTTTAGAATTCTCCCTTGTTTTTTATGATGTCAAATATCCTGGTCCAGAAGTAACACTTTACATCATACTCTTTTCTACCTAACCTGTGAAGCAGAAAATAGAAAATAACTCCATTCCCATTGTCATAAATTTTGTACGGATATACTCGTATATCTACTTAAACGGAAGTTATAAAGAATATCTTCCATCTTGGCGTAGAAAAATGAGAACCACTAGTGATGAAAAACAAAGTTTTGATTTAATTAAATTCTTACAATCCGACAAGAGAACTATGAGCAACAATGCCCAAAATTTAGTTTTTAGAGAATAAAATCGGATGAATAAGATGTATGATTATTTATTCTTTTTTCAAATGTTACAAACTATTGAGCAAGGGTTTTTTTATCAGCCACCAAACAAAAGGTGTGTTCTCAGAATAGATCTGTCACCAAATTAGTAAAAACAATTATTTGAAATCTTATTTGTAAATTTTTAAAAATCATTGAATGCCTACATTAAAATAAGATTACGATTCATTTGATAGCAGATCTATGATTATAAGAACACAGTCAAATTATTCATGAAACAGATTTTAGTTGACAATATTTCAAATTGATCAGAAGATATAGATATTTATATCAAAATCATTTCAAATTTAATTTGATCATAATATGTATATCTGTAAAATAAAATTACCTTAAAACGCTTTGTCTTATAATCAATTAAAGAAAATACAATTCAATTAAATTAATACATTACCAATAAAACGAAATACAAAAGTTAACTGTAATAACATTGATTTTAAAAGTGCATATCATAAAAACTAAGAGTTCTATGACTATTACTCGTAAATAATAATGTTACTATAGGCGTATCTATAGGCACATAATTTAGTTAATAGGTAATAATATAGTGATCCAAAAGAAAACCGGTATGACTGGAAGCCAAATTTTTTCATAAATTCGTGCTCTGAAAAGTTAACGAAACCGGATACCGGATAAAGGAAACTAAAAAAACACACAAAATAAATTACAAAGCCTCCAAAGTAATTAATAAGAGAGTACTTAAAAGAATCTCGCAGCAAAGAAAACTTTCAAATAATTCCTTAATCACTTTATAAGAAAGAAAATCGAATCAGATCAATGTCTACCACCACTAATTATCCTTAAATTATTAAAATTCAAATAACTTTCTCGCAATTGAGTCCAGTTCCAGCCTATTACACTTTACACATGTATTATTGCTTTCCAATCCAATAAAATTTCAGCGCAAAAATCGAAGAATTGTTGTCATTTGAATAAATTTTCTAGCTAGCGTTTCACTTGAAAATCGGCGAAATGGGACAAGACCTGTTTGAAAAAAAATATTTTTAACGAGACAATGTAAAATTTTCCATTATCTCCTCTCATTGTTCTCTTTTTTACACCGAACGATAATTTCAGACACATGTGTCAAAGAATTTTTTCAGTTTCAGTGAAATCATGCTGAAACATATTCAGACTGAACGTGGAGGAACGCCTGAATGAGTTTGTTTTAGGTCAAGAGTGTCCTACAAGAGGCGCCACTGGCCGAGCGTCGATACGGTCCTGGATGACGTCACTGCTGCAGTCAACAACCTTTAAGAAATTGAGGATTGAGGAACTCTTCATTTCTTTTAGGTTATCGCCAATACTCGAGTGTATTGTTAATTGCATAACCTACACCAAAAAGCGTAAATTCGTTATTTTAAGAAATGGAAGCATAAAATTTTGCTGAAAGCAGGAGGAATTGTCTTGGAGCGGTTTGCGTTCTTCTCGCGTGTTTATTTTTGTTTAAAATCTCATGTAATTTCCCGCGATTTTGGACGAATCGGGGGCGGTGTTGGCGGCGGCGGCGGGTCGATCCATACGACACAAGGTCTAGCATCATGGTCGATAGCGAGGAGCACCGATACAAAGCTTCAGTAACGAGTCGAAAGCTCGGGAAAGAGCTTCAAATCAACAACACGTTTTCATTAAAATAGTCGTGTTTAAAATGTGCCAACTTTGCGATTATTCAGTCCCTAATCACATCAAATATCTGAAAATGTGAAATTTTTTGTGGGTTTCTTTGTAGGAATTTAGACATCACATAGAGTAAGTAGTTAAAAAGCTTAAAATTATTTTGTTTTTTCTTCTAGTTTTGTAAAGCTGACCACAGCTAATCAAACTTTTTCCTTAAATTATCGCTAGGTTTTGTAAAGTAATCATAAACTCGGGGCTTAATTGAGATTTATTAAGCTCCATTCCGGCATAAATGTCATATAATTACCAGAAATGAAAAAACATAAAGATCTTAATCTCGAAGGCTCAAATAAAGAATCCTGAGCGTTCGCATTTTTCACAATCCGATTTAGCAAGTACTCTAATATCAAAGTAGTGTCTAAAAACCTGCGCATTTTTGCAATAAACTTACCGTAAGAAAAGAAATGTCCTAATCATCATGTCTCAAATTAAATCAAAGCTTCTCGTCTTTCAGCATTTCGGCGGTCACTTTGATCTGTTTGAAACCTGAGACACTAAACCACGTTGGAAATACCACTTCTTAAATGTCTGTGATAAATAAGGCCTTTGTGAGGGGTCCAAAACCGTCACAACGTAATTGCTGTCAATAAAACCCGTCTTTGAATATTTCCTAGCTAAAAATAGAAAATTTGTAGAATATATTACGACTTTTCAAGATTAAATCTCAAGTTATTTTTGTGTCGACGATCTATTTTAAGTCACTAATTGTATTTTTTTTTACCCGGCGCATCCACCATTTTGACTCAAAAAATTTATCTTTGATGCACCTGGCCTTAAAAATTGTTGGCATTTACTCAGACACAATTAACAATTTGTCTCGTTTGAGAAAAAACTGGTCATAAATTGGTCACCGGAGGGAAACAATTTCTCAACTCGGACCCTTATTTCCGCGTCATTGACAAAAAATCAATCTTCAAAATGACACTCTTTGTTGATTTGAAAGTTAGTTTCAGTAATTTTCAGGTTTAAGTAAAATACGTTTAAAATTAGACGAAGAGTTCTGATGAAACGTCTGTTTTGATTTAAAACTTAGGTTGGAATAGACGTAATTCCATTTTATTACCGGATTTCGAATGAGATAAAGCTACAGAATTCTTTGGTAAACAACTCCTAGTAATAAATCATTGTTCAATTTAATTTTGGCTTTTAGGCGGTATGCCTTCTCTTAAAAATATTAATATATAGTGTATTGGTGACAAACTTATCATTAATTAAAAAAATGTATAGCAATTTTGTAAAGTTTGTTTCTCCAATAATAATGTTTGTGGCCACTTTATTCAATTATTGATAAAACTGACAATTGTCACAATTCATTATATTTCATAGAGATTATCTCAATTCCATTCTGAGCAACTTTTTTAATTAAACGACGCCTAGCTTTTGTTGTTTGATCAATAAGTAAAAGAATTGTAAACTTTTGTTTGTTTTTGTCAAATACCCTTACAAAGAATGGCTCATTTTACGTCTCTCAGAAATCGGGATTACGTTTTATAATAGGTACTTGCTTGTGAGGTTTCATATAATTGTAGAAAGTAATTGGTTTCACGTCCATTTACGCTTTTTAAAGTTTTCACTTTAAAACCGGCGAAATGAATAATGTTTTAAACAATTTGTTTTGCATTATTATGAGTTCAGTGTGTGGGCTGATATGTTTAAAGCGGAGGTGTGAAGAGAAATTGTCGGCGAATTTCCAACGTTTGACATCAGTTGATTGTTGGTGTGAATCAGTAATGGCAACATTGAACATACAAGTGACATTTTTAACTGATACAATAAAACTCACTCTGAATTGGCGCGGATGGC